TCCAACCGTCCGATTTCGTGTTCGCTGGCGGTACAGTCAGGCGAGCAGCAATGTGGACCACCCACTGGCCGCCTCCCGTTTGCCTCGGAGCGCCGTAAACGGGTGTGGTGCCGAAGCTCCACCCAGAAGTGCCGAACCAACGCGCGAACGTCGGCTCCTCCATTAACGGGGGAATCCCTCGTCTGGTGTCAGTAGAAATGGTCACTTGACGACCATTTCTATTCAATCACAACTTGTTTGCTTCACACGCTATTTCAGTCACTCGCAGAGACTTTGCCTCGTGCGTCTGAGAACCCTCGCTGCTCGAATGGACTCGGTCAACCCTGAAACGGCTCTTGCCGTTGCTCTTGCTGCTGCCACGGCATTCGGAAACGCAGCGAGGTACCTGTGGGAGGTACCGAGCTGGCTCAACTGCCCTGCACTGAACTCGCTCCCCTTTGACTGCCTCTACGAGTGGACGGCGGCTGATGAAGCTCAGCTGAGAGCAGCACCGGCTGAACTCAGCGTGAGCGAGGAGCTTCTGCTCTTAGCTAAACTCACAGTAAGCTCCGCCGAGTTTACTACGGAGTGGACTGCTGAGGACGAGGCTTATTTGAGAGCACCTGTCACAATTCGTCGTACCACACTAACTGTGAGCGAGGAACTGCTGCTCCTGGCGGGAAACTCGGTGAACTCTGCCGATTTCATTACAAACTGGACGGATGAGGACGAAAAATACCTGAGAAGCGGATCATTGAAACCGCGCGATGGGTGGACCATTGCCAAGTGGGTGGCGCAGTATGATTCGTTTAACACGGCCGATTTCGTCACTGAATGGACGGAAGCGGACGAGACGTATTTGAGAAATCAGGTGATCAGGAGACCTGTGGAATGCAAGGCGATGACCTCCGCGGAGGTGGCTATCAAGATAGGTCGGTTTGTTGTTGAGGAGAACAAGAAGCGCCGGGAAAACCGCTTTGGAGTGAGGCTGGGCTTCTCGCCCTTGAGGCCCGCCTTCGCTACCGCTGTTGCCTCTGCTGTGAGCACGCTGGCTGCTGCTGCAAGTGCTGCTGCTGACGCTCTTGGTGCTGCTGTTGCTGCTGCTGTGCCTGTGGTGGCTGCTGCTGCTGCGGATGCCATTGCTGACGCCGTTTCTGGCGCCGTTTCTGCTGCTTCTGCTGCTATGCCTGGTGTTGCTTCACCTAAAAAAGAACTTTGCAAGCCATCAGCACGATCAACAGCGAAACCAGCTCGGTCAGTGGCGAAACCAGCAGCACCTTCAGCAGCTAAATCATCAGCTGTTGCTGCGTGCAAGCCATCAGCACGATTAGCAGAGAAATCAGCACCATCAGCAGCTAAATCAGCGCCATCAGCAGCACCATCAGCAGCTTGGTCCGTGGCGAAGGCAGCAGCCCCTTCAGCAGCTAAAGTAACGGCTGTGGTAAAGCCTATTGCGTGCAAGCCATCAGCACGCGCAGCAGCTTCGCTAGCAGGACGACCAGCGGTGAAAGCGGCAGCGAAATCAGCCACACAGCAGGCAGTGAAGCCGCCTGTGAAGGCAGCAGCCTGTGGTGCAGCAGGGAGAGGGACCAGGAAGGGAGTGGCAAGCAAGGTTGTTGCTGCAGAGAAAAGATTGGGATGCAAAGGTAAGGTGGCGGAAGTGACAGTCAAACAGTCAACAAGCAAGCTCACAGTACCGAACGCAAACCGCACTGCTCCTGCTGCCTCTGGTGGGGCTGCTGCTGCCACGAGCAAAGTGAGAAAAGGCTTGGTTTCGGCTGTGAGGGGGGAGGGGAAGAAGGGAGTGCAGGCAGCAGCAGGGAGCAACAGTGAGCTGCGAGGCCAGACTGCAACAGCAGCCTCGCAGAAACAGCAGTTCCAGCAACCCAGGTGGAGGTGACAAATATGACTTGCTACTGACTAGCTCATTAGAAAGTGTTACCTTGTATGATATAGTTAATTTGTAGGATTAAATGTGTTGCTGGTGGTAGGCCCATGTAAATATGATTGTAAGGAAACAAAGTATCATTGACTTGAAATTGTCACAAAGTGAAGGCACATAGTGTAAGTTGATGAATCAAGGAGCTTCGACTTGCTTTACGGGCTCTTGATGCTGCAGCTTGTGTCGATTATTGGGTTGAGTCGGCTCTGTTCTAGTACGGCCATTTGTGTCTAGTCCATATCCATGTAATGTAATCTCTCCATGTTGCATGCATGCATGGTGAAGTGGGTCACGCTCTTATGACAAGTCAAATGTAACCATGTGGATATGGTAGTAGTCATGAATCTTCTTCACTTGACATTGTGTTTCATCACCAATAAGACATTTCCTTGTACGTTCCCAGTGAGATGTATGTTGTTCTGTGATCGCAATTGCAGGATCACATCAGAACCATTACCCCGTGGCCCGTTTCCTGTACCTCACCACGCACCCTCTCCCTATTTTCTCTCTACCCTCTCCTTCCCATGCCTCCTCACCACTCAACCTCCCTGCCCCACACCCTCCCTCAGTGAGGCAATGCAAGGTCCACCTTTCGTTGAATGCGACCTGTAGTGAACTCTCTGACTGCTCCTGACACTTCGTCGCGTTCCACTTCCATCAAAATGCTGTGCCAATATGAGGTAAGCCTTGGTGACCTTTGAGTTGACCAAAAGTCACCTCACAACTAAGCCATCCAGCCATATCCATGTAAATTAGGCGGATTGCGATTTCTTCATGTGTATATATCACAAAATTTAGACACAAGTTGCAAGACCAAGGAGCTTGATCTGTTCTATGGGGTAGTTGAGGGGCTAGTACGTCTAACATTGTATGTTAGAACGGCATTTGTGGTGTTCTGCATGTGTCAGAATGTTTGTTTGTATGCATGGTTATTTATGCTGCAGAAGGCACTTAAGAAGTGTTCTGCATGAGTATTTGGCACACTGTTTGTATGCATGGTTATTCATATTGCACAAGGCAGTGAAAGGGGTGTTCTGCATTATTATTTGGCACACTGTTTGAATGCATGGTTATTCATATTGCACAAGGCAGTGAAGGGGTGTTCTGCATGAGTATTTGTCACATTGTTTGTATGCGTGGTTTGTTTATGTTGCATAAGACACTTTAAGGGTGTTCTGCATGAGTACGTCTCACATTGTTCATATGCATGGTTTTTCATGCTGCAGTAGGCACGAATATACATGAATGTGCTGCTAGGCATGAATATGCTGCTTGGGATGAATGTGCTGCTTGGGATGAATGTGCTGCTTGGGATGAATGTGTTGCTTGGGATGAATGTGCTGCTTGGGATGAATGTGCTGCTTGGGATGAATGTGCTGCTTGGGATGAATGTGCTGCTTGGGATGAATGTGCTGCTTAGGATGACGAACTTCTTTACAGAAATGTATTAGTTCCCCTTTGAAGTTCCAGGAAAGAGTTCCGCCTCTTGAAAGAAGACTTGTTCTGAATGTCACATTGCTGTGACTCTGCAACTCCACCTTCCCTTGCTGCTGATCCCACCCCCATTGGCAGATTTGAAACCGTTGGGTTGGGGTGAGTATTATCGCATGTTGCTATTTGTGTCATCAGGCCCAGATCCGTGCAATGTGATCCCTCTCTCATGCATTCTCTTATGCTACTTCGAATCCGTGCCATGGGTGGGAAGAGCCACCAACGTCTAACACGAAGTCTTAACTGTGTGCTGCTTGGCATGAACCCCCTACACACTATCGTTTGTCGCCAAGAAAGCGTTTCTGATAGTGAAATATACAGTGTAAAGGCCCACTTTTCTGTCCTCCTGCTTCCGTGCTAAGTGTATGTGCTGCATTGTGAAAGCATGCTTGTCATGTCACTCTGTTGCTCATGCGCTTCTCCTTGGGCACCGTGGGCTTCCATTCCAAGCATCACCAGCAAGCACTGGGACAGTATGGGATTGCATCTCGGAAATTTACATCAGAACCATCACCCCCCATACCCCGTTTTCCTTACCTCACCACTCAACCTCTCCCTACCCCCTCCCCCTCCCCCTCTCGCGTCCCTTCCCCCCGGTGAACCCTCTGATTTCTTTTAACACTTTGCAGCATGGCTACCAGATCAGGTGGGCATCGGTGACTTTTGAGTCTACAAAGCAAAAGTCACCCCGCTATCAGTCGAGCCATGTGGCTGCTCCTGACGTGAGGTTGAGACTTGAACATGGGGGGCGGGTGGGTGCGTTTTGAGCTGGGACTGATTCTTGTGCCCATTCGTGATTCCCTTCAGGCCTGATTTGTACAACTCCGAACCAGTTTCCGTGACCCAGGTGGGAGCTGTTCAAATGAATATCCAATCAGTATTCAGGTCACTAAAAAGGTCCGGATTTAGGTCAGGATTCCTTCAAGTCGGCAGTCAAGTCAGATATTCAAGCCAAGTATTCAGGTCTGTATTCTGGTCAGTAATCACTCAGGTCAGCATTCAGTCAGAATGATCCTTTCAGCCACAGTGGAATGGGTTTTGTGATTTTGAGGTTTGTGTTGTGCCATGCCAAGCCAAATTCGTGTCATGCCAAGTGAACTCTATGTCCGAATGAAGACCCATCAAGAACTTTATTAACCATGTGCTGCCTGGTATGCAATGCAATCCCCAAGTAGATGTGCCACGCCACGCTGCGGAAGCATGCATGTCACCTCTGTATGCTCGATTGCGTGTGTGTCTGTACGCATGTCACTTCCATTCCACGCTTCACCAGTAAGCACTCTAGCCACAATGGCAGCTCGTTGCTTCATTACATCATGCTACAGCATGTTGAAGCCATTAGTCCATGCTCCATTACCTATACATCACCACTACCCTCTGCGGCCCCTCCCCTTCCTCCTCCACTTCCCCTCCCCTTCTTTTGCCCCTTGGTTTCCCCTGTCCTCTCCCTCCCACTCTCCCTTTCTCAGCGAGAAAAAGCAGTAAGCCTTTACAAAGATGGAGGGGTGTGTGGGGATTAGCCTTTTGTTGATATCACAACAATCGTGAACTCTCGTACTGCCTCTGCCAAAAGCGCTATCCTGTTCAGATGAAGTGCTGGTTTGCAAGCAGGTGAGCTCGACGTAAAGGTCACTTTGTAATCAGGCACATCGTTTTGAAACGTCTCAAAACAAATCGCTTAACATAATCATGTCTAACCATGCCATGGCTTACCTGGTTGGTCCGGTTGCTTGCTGTGAGCAATACTTGATATGTTTTTTTATCTGTGGCTCCATCCGTTCCTCTCCTGTCTCCCCCTTCCTCTCTCCTTCCTGCATTTCCTCTCGCAAGCCCCCATTTATCCTTCCACTTCCTGCGCAATTGTGCGTCTCCCTTTCTGCCTCGCCGATAGGCATGCCCTTTCTCCTACATCTACGTTCTTTCTCATCTCCCTACTTCTCTCCCCTGTGTTCTCTCCCCATGCCCCAACTGCTGACTTGGGCGTTGAATTGAAGCGTTTGTGCTTGGAGGCAGAGGGATGGGGCAGTGAGGAAACTGATTGCGGCACAGGAGCTGCTCGCAGCACTCATAACAGCAGGGTTTGGAGGAGCATTGGTTGTGGACCTATCCGATTGGTTTGCGTAGTCTGCAATCAGCCATGCACATGTCAACATGTGTATGGCAGGGCTGATTTTATCAGGGTAATTACCCTGATTTCAGGGTGATTTCAGACTTGTCACTTTCTGGACCCTGAGAAATCAGGTTTTTCACATTTTGGTCCCTGATCCATTCAGAGTATTGCTTTAGCGGACCCTGAAATTTTGTGTACACTCTCAGTGTAGGGTTTTCACGGACCCTGTCAATACAGAGTACGAGGCCTGTGGACCCTGAATGCGATGTTATCGGGGCAAAGTTTCTCGGAAATTTCCTCCTGATAACCCCTTCGCATTGATTTCAGTGCCCCCCACGTGCGTAACCCCGAACGGCACAATTGTTTCCGCAAATCACGTTTCGGTGCCTTCCATTCCACCCACCATACAGCTGTCCCGCGTTTCGTGGGCTGAGTCAGCTACCTGGATTTCTGTTTACCCCTTTGACCCTCGGTGGACGACTCGGCGGGACCGGCCAAACCCAACTAGCCGTTGAACTGGGCACGTCTCATCCGCTCCTGTTCCTTCCATTCTCCTCACGCCGACTCTCCTCACTTCTCCTCTCTTCTCTTATCCTACCTTCTCCTATCTCGCACTTCGGTTCGCCTCTTACGTAATAAGACGCAGTCTGAATCACACGCCACTGCGTTGCTGTCATCCTCGCCGAGTCAACCTGGTGGGAAATGCCAGCTAAGAATCGGTGGTGCTCGCCGTACGCCGTCTTGACTCTGACGGCTAGCAATACAGGTTCCGCACGGAAGGTCCGCTCCGATTTCTCTCTGAATATCTCAAGACAACGCAGCATTAGCGAGTACAGTGCAGCACATGATAGTGCTAAGATTCCGTACAGCAAGGCGTAGGATGAGTCATCCGAGTCTACTAGGCGAGCTAAGGCTGGATAGTAACATCCTATCCACCGTGCTCCGAGCCGCTTATTTTCCGATGGCAGCCAGGCGTAGGAGTAGTAGTAATGCGGGTATAAGAGCCAAACCAAAGTCAGATACAACCATCGCAAGCTATTCGCTCTACTACTTGTCCCGCTATCTCCGGTTTTCCGCTGCAAAGCTAGGCTCTAGCAGTCCTGAACGATATTTCCGGTTCCCCTAATTCCTCCCTGTCCTCATCGACCCGTGCCGCTCTCAACAATGGCTCCTGCTAAGCTTCTCTTCGCCGTCGTCGTCGCGCTTCAGGCCTCCGCGATCCTCGCGCAGACGTGCTCATGCGCCGACTGCGAGACGGTGGCCCCTCCATGCTACGCCAGCAGGTGAGCCTCCCGATCTGGGTAAGAAATTATTCGCCAAACTTGTGCGTGACAGACGGAATTACGCAATCCAAGTGCGTGACTCTGTTCCTGGTACGTAATGTGCTAATTCTGTTTTCCTGCAGGTGTGTTAAGCATAGTGGATCAAGATCGACTGCAGCTTACTGACCCCTCAATGCGTCCAGTGTCTCATGCTCCCCTTTCCGCATTCCCCCCCCCTCCCCCTTCCCCTCCCCTCCCCTCCCCTCCCTTTCCGAAAATTAAATACTCGCATTCACCAAGTTTTTGCTGGTTTGGCCGGGAGGCTGCGATTCTGCGTATACTTTCTGTGCGTGATGCTGCAAGCCCTACTGCTGCGCATGTGTGTGGTTTGCGTGTTGGATCAAGGTTGGCTGCAGCTTCCCGACCCATCAACGCGTGCATTCACTCATGTTCCCCCATCAAACTTACCCGTGCCCTCCTCTCCCTCCCGTTCCCTTCACCCCTCCCCGTCCCCCTCGTCTGCTACCTCTGCAGGTGGTACGCGTGGTGGATCAAGGACGACTGCAGCTCGCAGGCGCTGTGGAACAGCGTGCAGGCGTCCAGCGACGTGCGCAGCAGCGTGCTAGCCGTGTGGGGCCCCGGCACGGCCGGCGCCAGCACCTCCTTCCAGGACTACGTGCTTATGGCGGCCAACAACCGCCGCAACCCCTCCTGCGTCAAGACGTACCTGCTGGACTGGATCAAGTGCAAGGCTGCGCCCACCGACTCGGCCGTTCAGTTTTACAACTCGGCGCTGGGCGTGGGGGTGAGCGGGGTGAAGGATGTGCGGTCGCTCAACACGTTTGTGACGGCCGTGATCAAGAAGATTGGCCAGACCGTGTTTAACACGCTCGCTGGCATGCTCAGGCAGCGCGGCCTGCAGGCTCAGGTTGTGATGGCGGGAACGTGGTGCTAGATGAAGCGCATTCAATCATGATAAAACCAGGCGTGAAGTGGTTGGTGTTGAAGGTTATGTGAAGTCGTTGCTGCTCCTGGGTGTTTAGGGGGTGAGGGGCCCGATGAGGTGGCGGTTGTTAGATTTCTATGTTGCTGAAGCAGTGGTTGTCGTACCAGCAGGCTTACATGATGTAGGAAGGGAGTAAATGTACAGGGGTCGATGGAGGAGAATCACCTGATTGTAGCTTGCTGGAAACATGTAAGGACCAACTATTTATTTGCCATCATAAACAACAGCAGGCTTTCCTTCCTGACTACGGTACTGTTCCCAAACGTTCAGACGCTTATTCGGTCCAATGTGTGCACTACCGCCCTTATTCATTCGCGGATTGTGCTGCTAAGTACCGCAGCACCACCGAGGTGCTCCAGCAAAGCGAAAGCTGCAGCCACGCCTCTCGCCCGTTCCCTTTCAGTAGCACATTCCTTCACGTCAACCCCACGACAGCTTCACAATTCATCATCGCATCCCCTATTCGGTCGTCTGCGAAACGCACGAGTCCGTGGACTCCGTGGCTATGTCCCAGTTCTGCTGCACCAGAGATGGTGGGATGGGATGAGGAGCAGTGATGGTGGGATGGGATGAGGAGCAGTGATGGTGGGATGGGATGAGGAGCAGAGGTGGTGGGTTGGGTTGAGGAGCAGAGATGGTGGGATGGGATGAGGAGCAAGGATGGTAGGATATGATGGGTTGAGGAGCAGAGATGGCGGGATTGGATGATGAGCAGAGATGGTGGGATGGGTTGAGGAGCAGAGATGGCGGGATGGGATGGGGAGCAGAGATGTTGGGATTGGTTGAGGAGCAGAGGTGGCGGGATGGGATGGAGAGCAGAGATGGTAAGATGGGATGAGGAGCAGGGATGGTGGGATGTGATGAGGAGTAGAGATGGTGGGATGGGATGAGGAGCAGAGATGGTGGGATGGGATGATGAGCAGAGATGGTGGGATGGGATGATGAGCAGAGATGGTGGGATGGGATGATGAGCAGAGATGGTGGGATGGGATGATGAGCAGAGATGGTGGGATGGGATGCTGAGCAGAGATGGTGGGATGGGCTGAGGAGCAGAGATGGTGGGATGGGGTGAGGAGCAGAGATGGTGGGATGGGATGATGAGCAGAGATGGTGGGATGGGATGAGGAGCAGAGATGGTGGGATGGGATGCTGAGCAGAGATGGTGGGATGGGCTGAGGACCAGAGATGGTGGGATGGGATGATGAGCAGAGATGGTGGGACGGGATGAGCAGAGATGGTGGGATGGGATGCTGAGCAGAGATGGTGGGATGGGCTGAGGACCAGAGATGGTGGGATGGGATGCTGAGCAGAGATGGTGGGATGGGCTGAGGACCAGAGATGGTGGGATGGGATGATGAGCAGAGATGGTGGGATGGGATGATGAGCAGAGATGGTGGGATGGGATGATGAGCAGAGATGGTGGGATGGGGTGAGGAGCAGAGATGGTGGGATGGGATGATGAGAAGAGATGGTGGGATGGGAAGAGGAGCAGAGATGGTGGGATGGGAAGAGGAGCAGAGATGGTGGGATGGGATGATGTGTATATGTTTCCACCCCTGTTGTATATGTCCTCCCCACCAGTCTTCTCACTTCTCTCGCTCCTATCCTCAACCCACATTTCCCATTCACCCACCACACCCCCTGGAAACCTGTTTGCTTGAACAGGAATCAAACATTTATTTGCCATCATAAACAAAAGCAAACTTTCATTCTTGACTACTGTTCCCAAACCTTCATGCGCTTATTGGGCCTTTCGTCATGCACTACCGCCCTTATTCATTGGCACGGCTTGTGTTTCAAAGCAAAAGCATGGCCTAGGCGCTCCAGGAAAGAGAAAGGTGCAGCTCTATCTCCCGACAGGTCCTTTCCTCCAAAGTGCGCAGTTCTTCTCGTCTCACTTGCAAAAGCTCCACAATCCGTCATCGCGTCTCCTACTCGGTCGTCTGCGATACGCACGAGTCCGTGGCCACGTCCCAGTTCTGCTGCACCATGAACTTCATGCCGTTGAGCCCCACCAGGTTGTACTCCGCATCGTCACCATACACGTTCTGAGCCGTTTGCGTCTCTCCGTACTCGTAGCTGCACTTATCAGCGTTCTCCTCCCCGTTGGCGTCGAACCAGCCGCTGCTGGCATTGGGATCCGTCGCCGCTTCCGCGATCTCGTGAGCGATCGTCGAAACCATCGCGTCCAGCCACGGCTTCCCGTTGGGCGAAGTCTGCTTCGCACCGCAGTTTCCCGGGCACAATCCGTGATGAACCACGAGGGAATATGCAACGGGCTTCGATTTGAGAAGGTCCATCGTGTGATACCCGCAGTACTGTGTGCAGAAGCCAGAGACCTTAATGTTGGTGCTCGTGAGAAGTAGGTAGATGCCATTGGCGTCGTACGGGAACGGCTTTCCGGAGCCAATCTTGCTCTTGACAACTGCGATTTGAAGGGGTTAGGACATTAGTACGATTCAGGGTAGGCAACAAGTGATCGCGGAAGGAGGTAAGTGGTATGACGGTTTGTCGGCAAGCGAACGGGAGATAGGTACTACTAGCGAAAGGAAGTCAACTACGGTGGAACGCAAGCGCACCTTTCCAGGGAGTGTTGGCGTTGAATTTCTTCCCTTGCGACCCTTTGTCGTAGATGACCTTCGCGAGCTTCACCTGAGAAAGGAAGGAAATCGATTTTGGATGTAATTCCATGAAATTCTCGTCTGAAACTCTAATTACACTTGTATCCGCGCTAGCCTCGAACGGCCCCGTGTGGCCCCCGCGCTAACCTCCCACGGCCCCGTAAGGCCCCGCGCTAGCCTCCCACGGCCCCTTCAGGCCCCACGCTAGCCTCCCACGGCCCCGTAAGGCCCCGCGCTAGCCTCCCACGGCCCCTTCAGGCCCCGCGCTAGCCTCCCACGGCCCCTTAAGGCCCCGCGCTAGCCTCCTACGGCCCCGAATGGCCTCGCGCTAGCCCCGACCGGCCCCCGAACGGCCCCCCGCGCTTGCCTCTCACGGCCCCTCCCGCGCTCGCCCCTCTACGGCCGAGCCGCGCTGCGCGACCCGACCCGTACCGCGCCGCCCTAGCCGAGCCGCGCCGCCCTAGCCGAGCCGCGCCGCCCTAGCCGAGCCGCGCCGTCCTAGCCGAGCCGCGCCCTCCTTACCTGAACAGCAGCACCAGTACTGAACTGCTACTGCTACTACTACTGCTACTGCTGCTGCTACTGCTGCTGCTGCTGCTACTGCTACTGCTACTTCTGCTACTGCTACTTCACCTATGGCTAGCCCTCCAGTTCTCTCGTTCGATACTGAGGGCCACCCAATTAAGTTTGAGACCTGGCTCGATGATCTGCATCTGTTCCTCCAGCTCACTGCTAGAGAGGATATCTCGCTGTACGATCACGCACTAGGCACAGTCCCTCCTCCTACTACTACTGCTGCTGCTACTGCTCGCTCACAGTGGCAGACTCGCGATGCCCACGCCCGCTTTGCTATCCGCAACTCCCTGCCAGTAGACGAGCGCGAGCACTTTGGCCAGCATCAGACTGCACAGGCCCTGTACACTGCTGTAGTTGCGCGCTACTCCTCCCCGGCCTCAGCTGCACTAGGCCGCCTCTCGCTTCCCTACCTGTTCCCCGACCTGTCCGCCTTCCAGACAGTCGCTGACCTCATCACTCACCTCCGCACTAGTGATGCCCGCTTCCGTGCAGCCATGCCCGCTGAGTTTCTTGCCTCCAACCCTCCCCCGCTCTGGCTCACTCTCTACCACCTAGTCACCCGCCTCCCTGACACTCTGCGTATAGTCAGGGACCACTTCCTAGCTCGCTGCCCCACTGAGCTCACCATTACCGCCCTAGAAAAGGAACTACTTGCAGCTGAGAAGAGTATTGTAGCTGTAGGTACCTCTCGTGGCGACCCCCGCACCCCTTTCTTCGAGGGGTGTTCCCCCTCCCCCCTGCTCCCCTCTGTCGCCTCTGCTGCTGCTGTCGACCTCCTTGGTGCTGAGCAGGTCGGCTCTGCGTCCGCTCCCAGCGGGCGCCGCAGCGGCAAGGGCAGGGGAGGCAAGGGCGGTGGGGGTGATGGCGGGGGAGGCGGTGGTGGGGGTGGTGGCGGCGGTGGGGGTGGTGGCGGGGCTGGAGGGGCTAGTGGCAGCGGTGGGGGTGGTGGAGGCAGCGGCGGCGGCGGTGGCCGGGGTGGGGGCGGTGGTGGTGGCGGCAGTGGACGTGGAGGCGGCAGGGGCGGTGGTGGTCGTGGTGGAGGCGGCGGTGGTGGTGGTGGAGGCTCTGGCACTGGCCAGAGCGCGCAGCACCCTCAGTCCTCCCAGGAGCTTCGTGAGTGGTACTTACAGCACGGGGGTGGGGGGGGTAGCCTTAGCTGCACGTACGTCATCCGCACTGGTCGCCGCAAGGGACAGATGTGCGGGAGGGCGCACACTGCGCAGCGCTGCTTCTCTCGCCTAGATGACGCGTGGCGTGCTCAGTTTCCTGACGCTCCTGAGCTCCCTCAGTGGGCTGATCTCCTCAAGAAGGATATCGATATCTATGCACTTGATTTTGATGTTATTCTCAAAGCCATGTATGCATTGACTATTAGTGGAGAGGAGGACCAGTACCTGTGTGTTCCGCCTGACCCAGGCATCTGCACGAATGAGGCTGCCGCCCTAGGTGCTTGCGTGTCTGCTGCCCCAGGTGCTAGTTCGGCTACTGCTCTAGGTGCTTGTGTGTCCGCCACCCCAGGTACTACTGAGTCCACTGAGGCACTGCACACATTCACTCTAGACTCAGGCGCTTCGCGCTGTTTCTTTCGTGACCGCACTGCTCTTGAGCCCCTTGCTCGACCAGTCGCTGTCTCGCTCGCTGACCCCTCTGGGGGTCCGGTCATTGCGACCTCCTCCACCCTCCTTCCTTGTCCTGCTGTCCCGTCGGGCACACTGTCAGGTCTCCACCTCCCCTCGTTCTGTACGAACTTGGTGGCGGGTTGTGCGCTTCAGGATGGGGGTGTTCACCAGTTCACCCCTGCCTACGAGCGCGTGACACACTGCACGTGTGCTCGGACGGGCCGTCACCTGGCTACCTTCACTCGGCAGCCGGGGTCGGACCTGTACACACTGACCACTTAGTCCCCTCAGGTAGCGGCGTCTGCGTCTGCGTCTGCGTCAGGTCAGCTGTCTGCCCCCTGCTCGTGTCGCTCTCTAGCGCACAAGACTGTCCTCTGGCACCACTGACTTGGTCACCCGTCAGTGCAGCGCCTTCGGGGCATGCACTCCCGGTACCTTGTCTCTGGTCTTCCTCGGGTACTCCCTCCCCTCCCACCCTCCCTTGCTCCTCCTTGTCTTCCCTGTGTCGAGGGGCGGCAGCGCGCTGCCCCTCACTCCTCCTCGTTCCCCCCGACGACTGCTCCTTTGCAGACGCTCCACATGGACGTGTGGGGCCCAGCCCGCGTCCGTGGTCAGGGCCAGGAGAGGTACTTCTTGATCGTCGTTGACGACTACTCGCGCTACACCACGGTCTTCCCCTTGCGCACCAAGGGTGGAGTCCCTGATGTCCTGATCCCTTGGATCAGCAGAGCACGTCTTCAGCTGCGAGAGCGTTTTCGCTCGGAGTTTCCTGTCCTGCGCTTGCACTCTGACAGAGGTGGCGAGTTCTCCTCCGACCTCTTGGCAGCCTACTGTGCCGAGCACGGCATTCGCCAGTCGTTCACGCTTCCGGCCTCTCCACAGCAGAATGGGGTTGCTGAGCGCCGCATTGGCTTGGTCATGGAGATCGCTCGTACCTCCTTAGTCCATGCGGCTGCCCCCCACTTTCTGTGGCCGTTTGCGGTCCGGTACGCTGCGCATCAGCTCAACCTCTGGCCCCGTGTCTCCGCTCTGGAGACCTCGCCCACACTGCTGTGGACGGGGGAGGTTGGCGATGCGTCACGCTTCCGTGTCTGGGGATCCCGAGCTTTTGTTCGCGACACGTCTGCGGACAAGCTCTCCTCCCGCACTGCTCCCTGTGTCTTTCTTGGCTTTGTCCCGGATGCGTCTGGCTGGCAGTTTTACCACCCCGCCTCGCACCACGTCTTCCCCTCTCAGGACGTTACTTTTGACGAGTTCGTGCCCTTCTACCGCCTCTTCCCCTACCGCACTGCCCCGCTCCCTCCCCCGCCTCTCTTCCTCGCGCCAGGTGCTGCAGTGGTAGACCCCCTTCCCCCTCAGGGTGCCGCTCCCTCAGGTGTCTCTCAGGTAGACCCGGTTGAGCCTGCCGAGGTAGCTGTCGACTCGCGTCCTGCTAGAGGTGCTGAGCCTGAGCGTGCGGAGCCTGAGCGTGCGGAGCCTGAGCAGGTGGAGCCTGGGGGTGCTGAGTCTGGGGGTGCTGAGACTGGGGGTGCTGAGCCTGGGGGTGCTGGGTCTGGGGGTACTGAGCCTGGCGTTGCTGAGTCTGGGGGTGCTGAGCCTGGTGGTGTTGCAGTTGACTGTGAGGCGCCTGGAGGACCTCCCTCTTCGCAGTAGCTACGTGAGTGGTACTCACGGTACTGCAGCCTCCGGCGGGGTGCGTCTCGGGCTCGTGGTGCTACTGGAGTTTGTACTCGTGTTTCCCCACCACGGCGGGAGCCGCCCTCTTCCCCACAGCTTCGAGAGTGGTACGCTCGGCACATCAGTCTCCGGAGTGGAGCTGCTGGTGGTGGGGTCCCCGGAGTTGACGCTGCTGCGGGTGCTGCGGACCCTGGTGCTGGAGGTGCTGCTGCTGCTGGCGGTGCTGCTGGAGGTGCTGCTCGTACTGAGGACCCGGGCGTTGGAGCTGCTGCGGGTGCTGCGGACCCTGGTACTGGAGGTGCTGCTGCTGCTGGAGGTGCTGCTGGTGCTGCTGGAGGTGCTGCTTCTGCTGCTGGAGTGGAGGACCCGGAGGGTGGAGCTTCTGCTGGTGCTGAGGACCCTACCGCTGGTGTCTCTGCTGGTTCGGGAGTTGCTGCACGGCCACGGCCGTACTTCGTTCCGCTCCTTCAGCAGGTTCTTGGTCAGCCTCCTCCTCCTTGTCCTCCTCTCGCCTTAGAGTGTCTGCCGTCCGTCCAGTCACAGCCACAGTTACCGCCTGCCTCCCCACTCCCTGTGCCTACTCCTTACACTGGTCCGACTGGAGGTCTTGCTCAGAGACGTGAGCCTGTGTCACGTCCTGTGTCACCTGCGTCTCGTCGAGCATCGCCTGTTCGTGCTGCTACCACTGGTAGTCGTGTCCAGCGTAAGCGTCCTCCTGCTGTCCCAGGCACTCACCAGATGGCGCTTCGTCAGTCCACTGCTCCGCAGCGTGTCGCTCTCCCGTCGCCTCCTGCGTCCTCTCTTCTTGCTCTTGCTGACCCGGAGTCAGACACCCTTCGCGCTGCCAGTCCTACTGTCACACGTCTCCTGGCTACGGTTGTCACTGACCCTTCCTTTGAGTCCGCTGCTGCGTCTGCCTTAGTCACTGAGCTTGTCGACTTTGCAGCTGCGTGTCGTCTAGACTACGCTGCGAGTCTTGTTGCTGAGTCTGAGTTTGTCTGTCCTCCGTCCGTCGGGGGTGAGTGTGCTCTTGGCACGGACGTTCTTGAGGACACGCAGGAGGAGTTTGGTTGCCTTGCCGCTGCTTTGCCCCATCTCGTGTCCATGCTTGTTGCCCCTGAGGGAGACCCGGATGCACCAGACATCCCGACCCCACGCTCTAACGTAGAGGCGATGGCTGGTCCCTACTCCTCTCAGT